TTCCCAGGAGACATGAAAGTCTACTAGGCCCATAGCACGCTCTACCCCATTCCACGCCCACAACGGTTCTTTCCCATCCAGTGCAGGTGAAGATGTTACCACTGTCAGAGACCTGTTGCCATGAGACGTGATATATTCACAGGTCTTCCCTTCTTCTCTCTCTCCTGTCTTTCTTTTTTTCTCCTGAGAAACAGGATTCTACTAATCATGTTGTTGAAGTCTTTATTTAGGGTGCCTGGGTGGCTCACTTCAGCTCAGGTCATGATCTCACAGCTCAAGAGTTCAAGTCCCACATTGGGTGACCTCAAGTGGCTCAGTCGGTTAAGCGTCCCACTTTGGCTCAGGTCTTGATCTCACAGCTCCTGGGTTCAGGCCCCGCATCGGGCTCTCCGCTGTCAGTGCACAGCCCGCTTCGGCTGCTGTCTCCCTGCCTCTCTGCCCCTCCCCACCCCGTGCTTTCTGTCTCTCAGAAGTAAATAAAAACATCAAAAAAATTGTTAACAATAAAATAATCTTTTTACTTAACAATGTTGGGGATTTTCCTCTAGTTATTTGTTAACATCGCGTTTAATTGCTGTGTGATAGCCCACTATAAAGGTACTCAATAGTTCATTAACCATATTCTCAGAATGGGATTTTTCCTATTTGTTCCCAGTTGTAACCTTGGTTATAAAGGTCATTGGGTGTGTTTCACTTACGTCTCTACATATCTCTCCTTGTTTGCTTGGGGTAAATTCCTTACAGAAACACTAAGCGATTCTGGTGGAATTTTGGCTTCTATATAAAATCTAGTACCCTGAGCGCTGACGTTATGTGATTTTTTTGGTAGCCTCCTGTCTACAGAAGCCCCATTTGAAGCTATTCCCAATCTTCGGTCAATTTCTCACAAATGAGGAATTATTGTACATACTCCATGCTATTTTACCCACGCGGACTATGTGTCAACAAGCCTGTAATCCAAGCCTCCACTAGGAGGAGGTCCTTTCCCATGAATTAAGGGTGTCTTTCCTAATATGTCAAATGTCCATGGTCTTTCACAATTGAATCTCGCCCTTGTGGGTACCACTTCTGCTAACACCTACACATATATGTTGCCATAGCTTTTCTTTCATTGAAATTTTTGTTTTAATGCTTATTTATTTTTGAGAGAGAGACAGAGCACAAGCAGGGAAGGGGCAGAGAGAGAGGGAGACACAGAATCAGAAGCAGGCTCCAGGCTCTGAGCTGTCGGCACAGAGCCCGATGCAGGGCTTGAACTCGTGAATGGTGAGATCATGTCCTGAGCTGAAGTCAGACACAACCAACAGAGACACCCAGGTGCCCTGGTGTTGCCATAGCTTTAAAAAAAAAAAAAAAATTGTCATTACTTCCTGATGGTGTGGGTTAGATACCATTTCTGGGGGACAAGAGAGCAAATGAGTAGGAGACAGGTCTGAATCAGATACATCTTAAAAGTGGACTTTGATGGTCCATTAGTAAACATTACCCGCCCTCCCCCGCCAAAAAAGAAAACTAAAACTAAAACAAAACAAAACCAAAAAACGATATGCAAAGAGAATACATGATTCAGAAAAGAAACCAAAGAGGTGTGGTGATCAGTTACAAGACGGATGTTGCCTTGGAGTCCGGGACCTAGCAACCGAGAACTTGGAAGGCGCAGACAATGGGTGACAGAATGTGCTCACGGTTTAAGGCTGAGGAGAGGAGAGGGCCTTCAGACTGAGCTCCAGTCACGCTCGGTGGCTGAGTGCTCCTGTCTGCCCGCTCGGTGGCTGAGTGCTCCTGTCTGCCCTGCCGAGGGGCCGGCCATGGACAAGCAGAGGACGCTGTGCTGGATAGAGGAACAGCCTGTGCTCTGCGCGTCTAACCCAGTAGCTGGCCGTCGTCCTCCCCAGACTTCCGCTGCGTCGGAGACTGCGTCACTGGACAGTGGAGGTTCGGCCTTCTTTGTTGTGTGTGTCTTACTGTGGTGAAATAGGACATAATCTTGATCATCTTACCATGAGTTAAGTGTACAGTCCAATGGACGTTTAAAATGTTAGGTCAACACCACTGTCCCATCTCCAGGACGTTTTTGGCTTCCCAAACTGAAGCCTTGTCCCTGTTAAACACTAACTGCCCCATTCCTTTCTTCCCCAGCCCCTGGCAACCGCTGTCCTACTCTCTGTCTCTGTGAAGGTGCCCACTCTAGGGACTGCATATAAGTGGAGTCACAGTATTTGTCTCTTGGGGACTGGCTTGTTTCAGCCTAAGGAGGTCTTCACGGTTCATCCATGTTGGAACAAGTGTCAGAACTTCCCTCCTCTTTAAGGCTGATGAATGTTCCATGGTGTGTCAAGACCACATGTTTTCTATCCATGTGTCCATGGACAGACATTTGGGTGTAGCATGAAGGGCACTACACGAACGTGGGGGTGCAGGTATCTGCGGTCTCTTCGTTGGGTAGAGAGCAAGAGGTGGAATTGCTGGATCACGGGGTAATTCCACGTTTAATTTTCTGAGTCTGTGTTGGACTCCTTGGCCACACGAGTGTTTGTTTTGCCCACTGTCCATGATTAATTGACTGTTCGTTGCTCTCCCATTGTGCTGCCCGGTCCTGGACTCTTCTGACACGGGTTCGAGTGGCACCACATCAGTGTCACTCAGGGGTGAAGACTAAGGAAGGCGGAAGCGGCAGACCCTTTCCCTCGGGCCACGTAATCCCGCTTAGAACTCTTCAGGGCTCTCTTCATTCCGCAGCCTCTGTATTGTGACCCGGTTGTAATGGCATCGTGAGACAACCTCACGGGGGGTTTTGAGGTTATTATGTATTTTATCGGCGTTTTGTCGCCCCGTTTCAAGCCTGTCTCACACATCCACAGGCCCACCTCTCCTGAGGCCGCTTCTCTACATGGGTCCACACAATCTACTTCCTCTTTTCTCGTTTATATTCTCCAATTAGCCAACATGTGTAGCCCTCAAATTTAGTCTCCTTGGCTGGTGAAAATAAATAACCTGCCTATCTCTGGGGAAAGGCAGCCATATGGCATCTGTTCTACCCTTGGGAATGAAGACTTTCTGGGTGGCTGGGTGGCTCAGTCGTGAAGCATCTGACTCCAGCTCAGGTCATGATCCCACGGTTCATGAGTTGGAGTCCCACACCAGGTAAGCACAAGCCCTGCTTCAGGTAAGAAGCCCTGCTTCCTCTCTCTCTCTCTCTCTCTCTCTCTCTCTCTCTCTCTCTCTCTCTGCCCCTTGCCGACTTGTGCCCTCTCTCTCTCTCAAATAAAAAATTTAAAAAGGGGGACTTTCTAATCTGAACCAAAGACATATCAGAACTCAGGCAAGTATAAGGTCTCTCTCTCTGTGTCTCTCTCTCTGTCTCTTTCTCTCTTTCTCTCTTTCTCTCTCTCTCTGCCCCTCCTGGGATTCTCTCTGTCTCTCTCTCTCTCTCTCTCTCTCTCTCTCTCTCTGTCTCTCTCTCTCTCTCTCTCTCTGCCCCTTGCCAACTTGTGCCCTCTCTCTCTCAAATAAAAAATTTAAAAAAGGGAGACTTTCTAATCTGAACCAAAGACACATCAGAACTCAGGCAAGTATAAGGTGTACGTTGCACACGGGAAGCTAGCACCTGCTTGAACGCTCCACCAGAAGGTTTCCCATCTTGGGGAAAGCATTTGAGAGTTCACGAAGCTCTGTTCAATGCAAGGGATGGAAATCACATTCAGGTTACGAGCCAGAGAGTGGTAAGAATAGTCGTGTCTTAAACTTCACGAGGCCAGAAAACTACAATTAGGCTCGCTTTCAAAGTGCCCCTTGTCACCAAGGTTCCTTTACACTGAGCATACATCGTGCTTCCATGTACACAATAATCAAAACCCAAACAGACCCACAGTAACAAGGGTTACGAGAAGGTGGAGAAATTCGAGCCCTTCTACGTTGCTGGTGGGATTATCAAATGGTGCCGCCAGTTAAGAAAACAATTTGGTGGTCCCTCAACGTGTTAGACAGAAGAGTTCCCTTGTGACCCAGCAATTCCCCTCCTGCCGAAGACAAATGAAGACACATCCACGCAGAGACTCACACGTTAACGTTCACAGTAGCATCATTCGTAGTAGCCCAGAAGAGAGAAGAACCCAACTGTCCATCACCTGCTAAACAAACAGGTATGTCTATACGGTGGAATACTACCAGGCCATGAAAAGGAATGGAGTCCTGATACATCTGTGGACGAACCCCTAGCACATTATGCTGAGTGGAAGCAGCCAGACCTAAAGGCCACATATTGTAGGACTCTGTTTATATGAGATATCCAGAAGAGGCGCATCTGTAAACATGGAGGACCAGGGGCCGGGGGAGGGGAGAGGGGAGCGATTGCTAACGAGGACAGCATTGCTTTTATGCTTCTCTTGGGTGGGCCTTCCTTTTAGCAAACGGTAGGCAAAATGGCTATACTTTCCCTTAGCTCCCGTGTCACAATGGCCTCATTCCTCCACAATTTCCTTGAAGGGTTTTATTTTTTTTTTTCAACGTTTATTTATTTTTGGGACAGAGAGAGACAGAGCATGAACGGGGGAGGGGCAGAGAGAGAGGGAGACACAGAATCGGAAGCAGGCTCCAGGCTCTGAGCCATCAGCCCAGAGCCTGATGCGGGGCTCGAACTCACAGACCGCGAGATCGTGACCTGGCTGAAGTCGGACGCTTAACCGACTGCGCCACCCAGGCGCCCCAATTTCCTTGAAGGGTTTTAGAATGTCAGGTAAGTGTATGTGTAGGTTTGTAAACGGTAAGTAAGCGAGCCAGGGGCTTTGATGGGATGAGATCCAGACTATCGCAACAGCATCCTTCGGAGTCCCCTTGGTCTCGTCACGTTGTGGGTTGGGCGTGGCCCGTTAGGAGAGAGGATGCCAGCTGCCTGATGGCGAAGGGGTATCAAGTCTCTGTGGCAGGTGCCTCCAGAACAATGGCTGAAAGCGGCCCTCTGGAGCCAAAGACAAGCATGTCAATTTCTCCACTTCTCCCATTAGGTCATGGAGCTTGATAACACTGACCTGAGAAAAAGAATGTTGTCGTGTTCCTCACGACCACATGGCATAAGTTACAGAGACTCTAGGGTTTCAGTTAGGAAGTTCTGATTCTACAGGCCATCAGCGCTGGGTACAGTTTCATTCTTTTTTTTTTAATTTTTTTTTTAGTATTTATTTAAAAAAATTTTTTTTTTCAACATTTATTTATTTTGGGGACAGAGAGAGACAGAGCATGAACGGGGGAGGGGCAGAGAGAGAGGGAGACACAGAATCGGAAACAGGCTCCAGGCTCCGAGCCATCAGCCCAGAGCCCGACGCGGGGCTCGAGCTCACGGACCGCGAGATCGTGACCTGGCTGAAGTCGGACGCTTAACCGACTGCGCCACCCAGGCGCCCCTTTAGTATTTATTTTTGAGAGAGGGGGAGACAGAGTGCAGGCGGAGAAGGGGCAGAGAGAGAGGGAGACACAGAATCTGAAGCAGGCTCCAGGCTCCGAGCTGTCAGCACGGAGCCCGACGCGGGGCTCGAACTCACGAGCCGTGAGATCGGGACCTGAGCTCAAGAGTCAGATGCTTAACCGACTGAGCCACCCTGGCGCCCCAAGATTCTTTAATTTCTAAAAATGACTGGATACTCAATACTGTCATTAAGTACATATGATGATGGCATTTTTAGCTTACATTTGATCTTGCTTTATGCCTCCATTTATACTATCCGAGTTTGCATTTAGAAATGACATAGTAGTCTAGGAATGTGAATTATTGAGGCGCCTGGGTGGCTCAGTCGGTTAAGCGTGCGACTTCGGCTCAGGTCATGATCTCACAGTTCATGGGTTCGAGCCCCATGTGGAATTCTGCGCTGACAGTGAGGAACCTGCTTGGGATTCTCTGTCTCTCTCCCTCTGTCTCTCCGCCCCTACCCTACTCTCTCAAAAAATACAATAGAGTAGAAAAGGAATGTGAATTATGAGGGAATTTCTTCTAGTCTCAGACCCAGTGCACACCTAAGGTATAGGTCTTCAATTTGATTTGCAGATTGGACTCTGAGGGGTTGGGGTGGGCAGGGGTGACTTTTCTGGAGGCCCTGTGTGGCTCTGAACCTACAGACCTTCCAAGCAGTAAGCCCTCTGTCAATTTCTGCTTGCGGGTGCTGTTGTGGTCTTGGGGATGTTTGCGACGGCCGAGGGTTCCGGCAAAAGCCAAGTTTCTGGACAGTCCCACAGAAGATACCCTAATATCCCCGAGCGTGTGTGGGGTTCCTTCCAGGGAGGACAGTGAGGTGCAAATACGAGTTCTTACAGAGTACTTACGTACCGGAATTAATTAATCCTCCATTGCTTTACAAGCTTAACGAAGCCTTTTGTATAGTTTTTATTAAAAAGAAAAAAAAGTCATGCTCATGCCAGAAGTACCTACAAAGCTTGAACAGCCAGACCTCATTTAACAAGTCACAATCCAAGGTCACACATACAGTGTTGAGTGAAAGTAAGCCAGGCACAGAGGAACGCCTACTGCAGGATCCCTGTTCTGAAAAACAGGCAGAATTGAAGCAACACTTTTGGGGACACGTGCTGAAGGAAAGCCCTGTAAAGACAAGTAAGGAAGTGATTCCGTTATCTATCCTCCACCAGGTGGTGCTGACGGGGTTATTTGCCCCGTGCCAATTCACCGAGCTGTACACTTCGATTTTGTGTGCTTTTCTGCATAGATGTGATTCCTCGCAATACAAATAGCCTTAACAACGCTAACCCAGTGAAAAATGTCTCTTACTAACTTAGCACATAGAGACTTCCGGGTGTGTTTGTATGCACGGTGACGTTCTAGGTACTCTTTCGTAAGTTCCCGTTTGGGCTCGATCCATGGTCACCATCTTCCTTTTGGTTATGTTGGAATGGGAACAAGAACGGATGTAATCTTGAAGACTAAACCTGTGAAATGTTGGAAAGGAGGTGGAGGAACTGGAGCCTTCATGCATTGCTGGTGGGAAGGCAGAATGGTATAGCCACTTGGGGAAACGGCTGGGCGCTTTCTGAAAAGTTCAACATCCACGTATCGTACACCCCACTCGTCCCACTCCGAGGGACCTGCACGAGAGAAACGGGAAAGTAGGCCCGTACAAAGTGTTACGTAGAAATGTTTAGAGCAGCCCCATAATAGCCCAAACTTGGAGCCAACCCAAACCTCCAAAACCGATGGAAGAATAAACATTTGTCCAATTGAATAGGACTCAGCGATCAAAAGAAACTACTCACACATGCTACAACAGGGATGAAACTTGAAAACACTCTACAAAATGAACAGAGCCAAGCACAAAAGAGTACACCTTGTTCGATCCCTGTTATATGTTTCACGGCGCCTGGCTCCATTTCACGGATGTAGCATGAATTATTTGACTGAGCCCCATTGTTAGACCTGAACTTGTTTCCCATTTTTCAATATTATCCATAGCATACGGCTAAATATTGGTGCCCAGTCTTAATGATTTCTTTAGGCAAATGCCTAGAAATGGAACTGCCTGTGTGAAAGTCTGTCCATTTTAAGCCAAACGGCCCTTCCCAAAGTGCACTCAGTCCGGGCTCCCGCCAGCAGGGCTCCCGTCTCAAATATAGCACCGCTTGCCACACGGTGGGGGGTGGGGAGGTCACTCTTCCAAGCCCAGGAGCCCCACTCTCACGACGCTCTGTATTTGTTTGCAGATGCCCGGCACGCAGTTTCCATGGCCTTGCTGCAGGGTGCCGACAGCTGCCAAACGGCAGGCTTCACCCTAGCCACCCTAGGATGGATCCTCACCATCATTTCCATGGGCCTCGTGGAGTGGCGAGTGTGGCACATAGGGAACACCTCTCTCTCTCACTCCAGAACGGTCTGTGTGGGAATGTGGAAGGTGTGCATTTACCACCATGCCCCCATCGTCAACAGATCTATATTGTGTTACCATTACACCCACGAGGATACTTACATCCCTTTGGATATTCGTATTTGTCAAAACCTCCTGTTGGTCGCCAGCATCCTAGGTCTCATGGGGAGAGTCTCCACCATCTTTGCACTTAAAAACGTGTGCGTTGGAAGTGTTCAGAGGAATGCCACCCTCGGTCCAATCGTCTCAGGAATTCTGGACATAGCTGCTAGCATCTGCGTCTTGATCTCTTTGATCTGGAATCACCACTCCGTGATGAGTGAAGAGGGTATTGCCTTCCCACCGTTCCTCTCTCTACCCTTCAGGCCCGATACCCAGGAGCTGGGCAGTGCTGTTCTGGTGGCAGACCTGGGTGCCATCATGATGCTGTCCAGCGGATTAATTTTCCTCTTGTACAGGTGCCCCATAGCTCGCCAAGTGCAGCCTCAAACTTCAGAAATGTAAACTCTTGGTTGCATTGGCTTTCCAAATTCAAGATTACCAAGCATTTGTGACGAGTTCTAGCGGGATGCCCTATCAAATATTTCCAACGATTCTAGACCATGCCAAGGGTAGTTGTGGGCAGAAAGTAGCCAACTATTTCCATCTGCTATTTTCTACGTCTTGGGTTCATTAAAAGAAAATTTCACTTAAAAAAAAATCTTCCCCACCTGTCGGTTGGTCTTACGGAGTCTGAATTTCAATTATTGTCGAATAAATAATCTATACTATAAACCTAGTGTATGGACATAAGATTTTCTGTGATTCTCACATGTCCCTTTTTTCAAGTTGGTTTTGTTGTTGTTGTTTATTAATTTATTTTGAGAGAGAGAGAGAGAGCATGTGAACAGGGGAGGGCCAGAGAGAGAGGAGAGAGAGAATCCCAAGCAGGCTCCACACCGTCAGCACAGAGCCTGCCTCGGGGCTCGAACCCACCAACCGGGAGATCGTGACCTGAGCCGAAATCAAGAGTTGGACGCCTAACCGACTGAACCACCCAGGCCCCCCTCCAGAGTATTTTACTTTCTTTCTTTTTTTTTTAATGTTTATTTTTGAGACAGAGAGAGAGACAGAGGATGAACGGGGGAGGGTCAGAGAGAGAGGGAGACACAGAATCCGAAGCAGGCTCCAGGCTCTGAGCTGTCAGCACAGAGCCCGACGCGGGGCTCGAACCCACGAACCATGAGATCATGACCTGAGCTGAAGTCGGACGCCCAACCGACCGAGCCACCCAGGTGCCCCCCCTCCAGAGTATTTTAAAGCAAACCCCAGATATCATGTCCCTTCATCCCTACACACTATCTAAAAGATGGACATTTCCTTGCATAATCATTCTGTGCCTCAAAAAATTGAACAGTTGTCCCTTGTGATCATGAAATATTTAATCAGAATTGTTACATACCTCCAAAATAATTCCACAATTTGATTTCTTCCACACAAGATGCGCACTCTGTCTCTTAAATCTCAAACTAAAGTACTCCCCCTTCGGTGCCCACTCCACCTTTTGTTCTTGTAAGATTTTATTTTCAAGTAATCTGTACACGGAACGTGGGGCTCGAACTCAAAACCCCAAGATCCAGAGTCACATGCTACACTGACTGAACCAGCCAGGCACCCTTGCCTTTTTTTCCTTTTCTTAATTTTGATTTGCCTAAGAAAGTGGGTCTGTTGTCCTCCCGTGAAACTTGTCACATCTCAAGGCTTCGTTAGATTCCAGGTCAGCTGTTTGTGGAAGAGTATGTCAAAGGCGAAGCCCTACTTAGACTGAGTGCATTGTAGCGGGTGGTAAATGGTTATTTACCTTTTTAGTGATGCTAATATTGATGGGTGGATCCAGAAGGGGAAAACCCAAACCCTCTCGTAAATTTCATCCAGCTTCCACCTTTTGATGGTCCTTGTGCGAATCAATGATTGCACTAAGGATTACGAGTGGTGACTTTCTAATGTGAACATTTTTGTCAGATTTATTAACTAGAATGCTTTTGTAAAGAAGAGCTTTCTCTCATCAAGTGTGGCTATTTGGGTTCTCTACAATTCAGCTCAGACACAAAAGGCAAGGTAAATGCTTCATTTTTTTCCCTTTAATTGTGAAATTGCTAGAGGAAGGGGGAAGAAGTCCTTAATTACCTTGGTGTTGACCGATGGCATTTTAAAATTGTTTTCACTGTTAGTTTTCATTTTTGTCTTTTTCTCATGAGAGTATAAACTCAACTCTGGAGTCTGAACTCATGAGACTGTTTCCGTGTTTTTATTGTGGAAATTTTCCAATGCCTTCAAAAGTAGACCAGCGATTTTCTCAGCTTCAAGAATTCTCATTAGGTGCCCTATAGTGTTTCATCCCTATCCTCACCGACTCTCACCAACCCCAGTCTTGGATCATTTTGTAATAAATCCCTGGCAGTGTATCATTTTATTGATGAATACTTCAAAACACATCTCTAAAAGATAAGGACTCCTTTTTCATAACATAACCACACTGTCATTATCACACCAAAAAAAAGTTAATACTTTCCTAATGGAAACAAATGTGTAGTCAATGTTCAAATTCCCCTAATTGTCTCATACATGCTTTTGTGGTTTATTAATTTTGAGAGAGAGAGAGAGAGAGAGAGAGAGAGAGAGAGAGACGGAGAGAATGCAAGCAGGGAGGGGCAGAGACAGAGAGAGGGAGAGAGGATCCCAAGCAGGCTGCATACCTTCAGTGCAGAGCCCCACGCAGGGCTTGAACTCATGAACCACGAGATCATGACCTGAGCCAAAGTCGGACGCTTAACCAACTGAGCCACCCAGATGCCCAGATATATCCAGGTTTTGGTTTTTTTTTTTTTTTAAGTTTATCTACTTATTTCTGAGAGACAGAGAAAAGGGAATTTCGAGCAGGCTCCACACTGTCAGCAAAGAGCCCAACACAGGGCTCGAACTCATGAACCGTGAGATCATGACCTGATGTGAAATCGAAAGTCAGATGCCTAACTGAGCCACCCAGGTGCCTCTTGTTGATACAAATTTAAATAACTACTCCCAGCACCCCCACGCAATTAGGTATGCCCTCCGTGGACTGTGGAATGCCTTTTTCTCCCCAACTTCGTAGGTGGTCCAGTCAGCTCCCAGGGTAACTCCTAAGTCCTCCTAATGCCCTATTTCATTACATTCTGAAATCATCCTGGAGGCTGGCCTAGAAGAGAGACAACACCTTGAGCTCACTCACTGATGAATTCTTTCCCCAACATTCACTGGGTGTCTTTCACATGAGAGGTGACATCAACACGTTTCACCGAGAGCTTTGAGGATATGGTGTATACAAGACACACACCTCCCACTTGTGCTGCGTGATTGCTCACGCTATTCACAGCCCTTCAGATGCGTAAATGGCCTCAAACGAAATAAATGACTAAAAGATAAGGTCTTAATGGGTAAAACTCAGACACACTTGAATCTAGAGTGACAGACTGAGGGTCATACTGAGTTCACAAGAGAGAAATCAAAGGGCTAACCTGGAATGTCTTTCTTTTCAAGGAACATTTATTTGTTTGAGAGCATAGTGTTTGAAAAAATTTCCCCACTGTGACAAAAGTCTATCAGCTACTTAAATTTTTTTAATGTTTCTTTATTCTTCAGAGGGAGAGAGAGAGAGAGAGAGAGCGCGCGCGAGAGCGAGCATGAGTGGGGGAGGGGCAGAGCGAGAGAGGGACGCAGAATCTGAAGCAGGCTCCAGGCTCTGAGCTGTCAGAGCCCGATGTGGGGCTCGAACTCATGAGCCACGTGAGACACGGCCTGAGCCAAAGTCGGACGCTTAACCTACTGAGCCACCCGGTCATGCCAGTCTATCAGCTATTTAAATATGTGTTCCAAAATCATCGCCTGTGGACCCGAGTGGGCTGGGTGCTCCGCTAGAATGTTAAACAGACACTTCCTTTAGGCTTTGTGGCCAGATTTGTGGGCAACAGATTCTTCCTCCTCTCTGATGGAGATTTTGTAAAATTTTAATAGCATTCTTTAGGAAATCTCCTTTCTCCGCCGACTATTTTTTGCATAACACCCTTAGCTCTCAAGCTTTGGGAACTGGGAGAAAATCACACCCTTTTGCATTTAGTTAAAGAGTTCCTGGCCCCCTTCCCAAGTCTTTGAAAGGAGCTGGATGGCAAGTCTGAGTCCCATGCAGACCTTCAGGGCTGGCCTTGGACAGAGTCCCACGTATTCTCCATGCAACTACAAGAATGGCTTGTAAAGTGGTTCCTCGGTAAACATCACATTCCCCCCAGTGAAATCTCCCCCTGTAATAGGTCTGATTCAGGCCAACTTTACATACAGGGGCTTTGAAAGTGGATTTGTGTAATTTAAGTGGATCAAAACCACAGGTTACTTGGAAAATGGAAGCTCGCGGACGATATGCTTATGAGGAAGGGTTGCCCAACCCACCCCCCTCACAGAAGCGATACCGTGACCATGAACAGAGTGGCACATTTGCCACCTGTTGGTCACAGGGGAAAGTGGCTAGATTGGCTTTGGTGAAAATTTAGTGGTGACCCCCTTCTGCCTCCAGGCTCAACAGAGAGCAAGCCCATGGGTCCTAAAGACTTTAGGTGCAAAAGGCCAAGGGATCACCATGGCAGGGTCTGCCCTGGGGGAAAGGGGAGAAGAAAAGGGGGGAAAATGAGTTTCAAGACCTTCTGAAGGACCTTCATTCGTTTCTCGGGTTAATGGCTATAAATGGAGGCAACTGTGGTTAGTTTACCTCGGGAAAGGGCTTTTAAGGAATATTCCCAAGCAGCTGCAGAAACCCCCTTTGTTTCAGGGAAATTCCCTGTCTTCTCTGGCTTGACAAGGACTGACTATTTCCACCTGTTGGCGGGAAAAACCTGCACCAGCGCATCTGTCTGAGCTGATGGAGTTTAAGGCCGGGAGACCTCCTTCTCCGTCCTCTGGACTTTTACCGGCCTCCAGCCCGCCTGCTGGGCCAACACCTCTTTCGCTTCCCGCCCCCCTCCTCCTGTTTCTGCACCACTTGGGGTGTGGCCTGCCTACCATCCTCAGGGCCTGAGGCACCATCGGCTCCTCCTCCCACCCTCGTGTCAGCACCCACTTCGGATCTCCCCACCAGTGTCTCAGGTAAGCGCTGACAACGGGGAACAAATCGACTGTCTTTTAAGCTGACGCAAGCGAAACATAATTCGGTATTTAAACTCATTGAAGTTTGTTGGTCCAATTAAAAATAAAGTTATCAGGGGCGCCTGGGTGGCTCAGTCGGTTGAGCGTCCGACTTCGGCTCAGGTCACGATCTCGCGGTCCGGGAGGTCGAGCCCCGCGTCGGGCTCTGGGCTGACGGCTCAGAGCCTGGAGCCTGCTTCCGATTCTGTGTCTCCCTCTCTCTCTGCCCCTCCCCCGTTCATGCTGTGTCTCTCTCTGTCTCAAAAATAAATAAACGTTAAAAAAAAATAGAGTTATCAGCATTGAATATAAAACGTTTTATTCTATCTAGGTTTCCTAAAGGGCAGATAAGCTAATGTCATCTCCCTTGCAATTTGCTAGCAAAAAGGTGACTTAAAGTGATGGTTAATTCGGTCTCAAAGCTGTCGCGGGTAATTGTTAAGATAGCTTTCAAAGGCTTTGGTAACCTGAAACTTTAAAGTTTTTGCTCGGATGAGAAATTGAAATTGGATTCATTAGGCATCTAGGTCTTTTCGAAATGAGATAAAGTGCTAAAGCATTGACTGCCAAACATAAGTTTGAGCTTTTGACTTCTCATCACATGA